TGTCTCCAAAGCATGATCTTGGGCCTCTGAATTACTATTGTAGTAACTTTATCACATTGCCACCATCTCCTCAATCAGATTATTCAGCTTGGTATAGTTATGGAATTCCAGGAAATATCAGAGGTGAAAATAATAAGAAGTGAGCTAGTGAGTTGAAAAAATTTGGTTCAGATGGATTGCAATTAAAAAGGGCAGGTAGTATAATCGTATAACTGAGACGCTTGAAGAAGAGTCTGGATATATCTACAAGGGGAAAAGAAGGACATCTAAAGAACTCTCTGGATGACTAAATATATAGTGAACAAAATGAAACAGAAAAAGCTTATGCTAAATTTTGTGTTCATTGTTCAAGCTGAATATAAAAAGTACAACAGAGCTGGAAATTAAAAGACAAATTAAAGTACGTGAGCATATATTTGGCAAAATAAAAAAAGTTATATGTCTTTCATACATGTTAATAGAAGGGTATGACCAATTGGACGATGAAAGAGATGTTGTGGAAACTGAGAACTAGCTAATGTATGAGAACAGGCTGTTGTTACAATCATGTTCAGAAACGTTTGGAGAGGAATAAATAGTAGTCACAGGCCATTCAGCCTATTATCAACGGTGGGGAAACATTTGGAGTCACATCAAGGACAAAACGAAGTGATACTTAAGAGAGATAGTAGGAACTGCAGATGCTGGAGAATCTGAGATAACAAGGTGTAGAGCTGGATGAACACATCAGGCCAAGCAGTATCAACAAGGTGTAGAGCTGGATGATTTCTGAAGAAGGGTCTAGGCCCGAAACGTCAGCCTTCCTGCTCCTCTGACGCTGCTTGGCCTGCTGTGTTCATCCAGCTCTACACCTTGTTATCTCTGATACTTAAGAGATTTGGGTTAATAAATGGAAGCTAAAATAAATTTGTTTCTGAAAAATAGTGTTTGACTAGCAAATGAATTATTTGAAGTAAGGAAGAGAATGAATGAGAGTACTGCAGTTAATATTGTGTAAATGGACTTCTAAAAATATATGGACTTGATAAAATACATGCAATAAGACTCAGCAAAATTGAATCAGAGATAGCAGGAACTGCAGATGCTGGAGAATCTGAGATAACGAGCTGCAGAGCTGGATGAACACAGCAGGCCAAGCAGCATCAGAGGAGCAGGAAGGCTGACGTTTCGGGCCTCGACCCTTCTTCAGAAATGGGGGAGGAGAAGGGGGTTCTGAAATAAATAGGGAGAGAGAGGGAGGCGGATAGAAGATGGATAGAGGAGAAGATAGGTGGAGAGGAGACACACAGGTCAAAGAGGCGGGGATGGATCCAGTAGAGGTGAGTGTAGGTGGGGAGGTAAGGAGGGGATAGGTCAGTCCAGGGAGGACGGACAGGTCAAGGTGGCGGGATGAGGTTAGTAGGTAGGAGATGGGGGTGGGGCTTGGGGTCGGAAGAGAGGATAGGTTGGAGGAAGAACAGGTTAGGGAGGTGGGGACGAGCTGGGCTGGTTTTGGGATGCGGTAGGGGGAGGGGAGATTTTGAAGCTTGTGAAGTCCACATTGATACCATTGGGCTGCAGGGTTCCCAAGCGGAATATGAGTTGCTGTTCCTGCAACCTTCGGGTGGCATCGTTGTGGCACTGCAGGAGGCCCAGGATGGATATGTCGTCTGAGGAATGGGAGGGGGAGTTGAAATGGTTCGCGACTGGGAGGTGCAGTTGTTTAGTGCGAACCGAGCGTAGGTGTTCTGCAAAGCAGTCCCCAAGCCTCCGCTTGGTTTCCCCGATGTAGCAAAGGCCACAACGGGAACAGCGGATGCAGTATACCACATTAGCAGATGTGCAGGTGAACATCTGCTTGATGTGAAAAGTCTTCTTGGGGCCTGGGATGGGGGTGAGGGGGGAGGTGTAGGGGCAGGTGTAGCACTTCCTGCAGTTGCAGGGAAAAGTGCCGGGTGTGGTGGGGCTGGAGGGGAGTGTGGAGCGGACAAGGGAGTGCCGGAGAGAGTGGTCCCTCCGGAAAGCAGATAAGGGTGGGGAGGGAAAAATGTCTTTGGTGGTGGGGTCGGATTGCAGATGGCAGAAGTGTCGGAGGATGATGTGTTGGATCCGGAGGTTGGTGGCGTGGTACATGAGGAAGAGGGGGATTCTGTTTTGGTTGTTATTGCGGGGAGGGGGTGTGAGGGATGAGTTGCGGGAAATGTGGGAGACACGGTCGAGGGCATTCTCGACCACTGAGGGGGGGAAGTTCCAATTCCCCGGTCCCCAACACCTCATCTTGACCATGGACGTCCAGTCCCTGTACACCTGCATTCCCCATACAGATGGCCTAAAGGCCCTCCGCTTCTTCCTGTCCCGCAGGCCCGACCAGTCCCCCTGCACTGACACCCTCATCCGCTTAGCCGAACTCGTACTCACCCTCAACAACTTCTCTTTTAATTCCTCCCACTTTCTACAGACAAAGGGGGTGGCCATGGGTACCCGCACGGGCCCAAGCTATGCCTGCCTCTTCCGTACCTACACTGGCCCTAAACACCACCTCTTCCTCTGTTACATTGATGACTGTATCGGCGCTGCTTCGTGCTCCCACGAGGAGCTCGAACACTTCATCCACTTCACCAACACCTTCCACCCCAACCTTATGTTCACCTGGACCATCTCCAATACCTCTCTCTCCTTCCTGGACCTCTCTGTCTCCATCTCGGGCAACCACCTAGAAACCGACTCCCACAGCTACCTAGAATACACCTCCTCCCACCCACCTTCCTGAAAAAATGCCATCCCCTATTCCCAATTCCTTCGCCTCCGCCGCATCTGCTCCCAGGATGAGGCATTCCACTCCCGTACATCTCAGATGTCCTCATTTTTCAAGGACCGCAACTTCCCCCCCTCAGTGGTCGAGAACGCCCTCGACTGTGTCTCCCGCATTTCCCACAACTCATCCCTCACACCCCCTCCCTGAAATAACAACCAAAACAGGATCCCCCTCGTCCTCACGTACCACCCCACCAACCTCCGGATCCAACGCATCATCCTCCGACACTTCCGCCATCTGCAATCCGACCCCACCACCAAAGACATTTTTCCCTCCCCATCCTTATCTGCTTTCCGGAGGGACCACTCTCTCCGTGAGTCCCTTGTCCGCTCCACACTCCCCTCCAGCCCCACCACACCCGGCACTTCTCCCTGCAACCGCAGGAAGTGCTACACCTGCCCCTACACCTCCACCCTCACCCCCATCCCAGGCCCCAAGAAGACCTTCCACATCAAACAGATGTTCACCTGCACATCTGCTAACGTGGTATACTGCATCCGCTGTTCCCGTTGTGGCCTTTGCTACATCGGGGAAACCAAGCGGAGGCTTGGGGACCGCTTTGCAGAACACCTACGCTCGGTTCGCAATAAACAACTGCACCTCCCAGTCGCGAACCATTTCAACTCCCCCTCCCGTTCCTCAGACGACATATCCATCCTGGGCCTCCTGCAGTGCCACAACGATGCTACCCGAAGGTTGCAGGAACAGCAACTCATATTCAGCTTGGGAACCCTGCAGCTCAATGGTATCAATGTGGACTTCACAAGCTTCAAAATCTCCCCTCCCCCTACCGCATCCCAAAACCAGCCCAGCTCGTCCCCGCCTCCCTAACCTGTCCTTCCTCCCACCCCAAGCCCCACTTCCATCTCCTACCTACTAACCTCATCCCGCCCCCTTGACCTGTCCATCCTCCTTGGACTGACCTATCCCCTCTCTACATCCCCACCTACACTCACCTTTACTGGCTCCTTCCCCGCCTCTTTGACCTGTCTGTCTCCTCTCCACATATCTTCTCCTCTATCCATCTTCTATCCGCCTCCCCCTCTCTCCTTATTTATTTCAGAACCCCCTTCCCCTCCCCCTTTTCTGATGAAGGGTCTAGGCCCGAAACGTCAGCCTTTCTGCTCCTCTGATGCTGCTTGGCCTGCTGTGTTCATCCAGCTCTGCACCTTGTTATCTCAGCAAAGTTGAAGCTTAGATTAAGGGAACTGTGACAACATGAATACAAGATTGAACGGATGGTAAGAAAGCAGAGATTAGTAGGAAATGATTGCTTTTAAGTGTACAGGGAAGCGTACCCTGCTATGCTTGCGGAGATAAACAAACAGGAGGCCGGAAGAACACAGCAGGCCTGGCATCGTCGGGGTGAAAGGAGCAGTCAACATTTTGGGTATTAACCTACTCCAGGACTCCTTGTGGAATTGGTTCTGAGACCACTGTTCTTTGTTGATATATTTTAAAACTTAGGGATTCAGGGCATAATTTCAAAGTTTGCAGATGACATAAACTCAGTTATGTAGTAATCAGTGAGGAGGTATTACCACACTTAAGGAGGGCAAGTGACATTGAAAAGATGAGTTGCATGACCTTTCACATACAGAAAAGGTAGAGTTTTTTAAGAACAATGAAGAGAGGCAATAAAGAAGTAAAGGTAAAGTTGTGACTCCGTACCATTCTCCTGTTTCCCCCATAACCCTGAATATTATTTCTGTTTAAATAGTCGCCTAATGCCAGTTTGAATGCCTCAATTAAACCTGCCACCACCACACTTCCAGGCACTATGTGCCAGACCTCTCCTGAAGATGTATTTTCTCCCAACAGATTTGCTTCTTTTGCAAATTACCTTGTAGCACTGCTCTCTCACTCGCGACCATTTCATGCGAAGGAATAGTTTTCTCCCCCCTACCCTAACCAAACCTTTCATGATTTTTAAAATAAAATTCTATTAAATCGCCTCTGAACCTTCTCCTCTCCAAGGAAAGCGACCCAACTTCTCCAAATCCATCCTCAAGATGGAATTTTCTCATCCCTGAATCAGAGAAGTCTGAATTGGAGAGAGGAGAGGAGAGGAAAGGAAAGAAAGGCGAATACCTGTCACTAACTTCTCACTCTCACATCCTTGGCAACAAGACCAGTGGCTCAGTGCCGTAAATGAACAGGGGAGGGTTTTACGATGGTTTGTTTTATTTTCTGACGACACCTCTACGATACAGTTTACGGCATCAGCTGGGGATAGACGTGGAGGCTGAGAGCGGAATGGCGGCGGCGGCCGAGGAGGTGCAGCAAGTACCGGGCGGTAACAGCAGCTGGTGGGTATCACCGGGGCTCGGCTACGGTTCCTGTGTTAGGCTGGCCGGAAGGAAATGAGTTGTCGGAGCGTGTGTATCTGTGCGTGTGGTGGTGTCCGCCGGCTGCGGTTCAACATGAAACCCAGCCGAGGAGCTTTAAACTGAGAAGTGGATCAGTTGAAGGGACAAGCTGAGTGACAGCCTCACTTTATTTCCTTTGATTTACATCACGTTAGTCATTTTCCTCCTTTTGGGAAGCTAGTTTATTGAAATATAAAGTCAGCAAAAATAGACAATCGTATCAGTACATATATATGGACTTTGTGATATGACTGTAGAGTGGACTCGTTCAAGTAGCTTGTTTCTCAGTTAAAAACGACACACCGCTTTTAGCCAGAAAAGCATAAAAGATCTGTCAAGTGGTTGTTAATTTTCTTAAATTTGAAGGTGGGAAAGGAGGAAGGTGAGGAGTTGTGATTTGTCTCTCAACAACCCACCTCTTCTTTCTCTCCCCGCCCCCAATAAACTCAGAAGGTGAAAAAGGTAGCAGCCTGGAGGGACTGATTCTCTGTGTGCGACCAAGAGGAGGGCTTTTGTTTACATTTGTTGATCATGCACCGAAAAGGGCGAGAGTGGGAGTTCTACCGCAGAAATGCTTCAAAAGGCATTAACTGTGAACACTCATCACATCATCCTTTGATATTGTTTCCCACATCCTGTAATTACATGGGAAATAATTTAGTTGGATGAGCTATTTCAAAGATGTTTCTGGAGTTTTGTACAAAAATTTCTTCTGGACAAAACTTAAGTTGACTTCAGTCTCTGTCATTTGAAATTGAGCTAGGCTAATTATTAAATTTTTGCTTGAAAAATTACATACTGTATGCAGTTGTGAAAATTGTATGATAATTGGCTTGAGTACCATAACAACAGAAAATTTACAGGGGCATAGTTATACTTACAGAAGTATGAAGTATAAAGCTAGAAGTAGTGTACTGCACTGAAAGCTCTCTGCTGTCTGGGCTATAAAGCAGTGTGCTCTAAATATATTTATGGTTCCACTAGAGTTTAATGATCAGTTATATTTAAATGTGAGGCATTAGCTAGCTTATCCCTCCATAACAATCCAACTATCAATACTTCAGTTCTTGCTGCTGATACGTGTGAGGGTACACATGGGATTTCCTTGAATGTAATGGGAGGAAGAGATCAGATCTTGCTGTGATCCAGATGTAGTTGAATAGTTTTCTCAGTCGTTTTGGCTTCTCTTGCATGGGAATAAATTATTTATTTAATTGACTTAAGGTAACAAAGAACAATGGTCAAAGCACAAATTGCAGTTTAGTTGATAGGTTGTTGTGAGTTGATGCTGTTATGCAGCAATTGTTGTGAAGTAAACATGTTATAAGGCTACATTCAACAGGTTGGATCAGTACTTGCTTAAGTTCAGTTTGGGAAGCTTATCACCATTGTTGTATTTTGCATCAATGTAAAACTCCTTTGAGTGGCTGGTTAGATGTGTGAGATCATAATGGGAACTATGACTGATTTTGGCAAACACTGGATTTCCCTTACAAATTGAAATCTTGTGTTTCTACATGTAATAGGCTTGTATTTGTATGGCACTTTTCACAACCACCAGACTTTTCAACACTTTGAAATAGTGCTTTGCAATACTTTTAAAAGTATTGTTCTGTAGGAAACAAACAGCCAATTTGCATGTAGAAAGCTGCTGCAAATAGCAGTATGATAATGGCCAGGTAATCTGTTTTATTATGTTAATTATGCAATAAATGTTGGCAAGCTCACAATGGATAATAACCATGTGCTGCTTTTCATAATAGTACCATTTGATCTTTAATTTGCAGCTAAGAGTTTGGATGACTTGAATTTAACATCTCAGCCAAAAGATGGCACCTTCTGTGTGCATAAATATAACAGTGATGTATTGCAGCATCAACATTTTTTGATAATACCTCATCTAGTCTGCAAATGCTTCATACACATGAATTATTTGGATGTCAAATAACTATTGTTTATGTAAATATGGTAACCAGGTTGCACTCACCAAAGTCTTATAGCCAGTAAATATCCATGTGTTAGTTCAAAAGCAAAATGCAGTGGGATGCTGGAAGCTTGAAAAAACACAAAAAGTGCTGAATACTAAGCAGATCAGGCAGCATCTGTGGAGAGAAACTGAGTTAACAGTTTTGTTTGATTTCCATTAATCTTGATGCAGTACACAAACGTTAGATTGTTTAAGACAGTGGAAGGGTGGAATGGGGGCTGGATGAACAAATGATATTGCGGGGAATCAGGGGAGACTAAGGAACAAAATTCATCATGCAATTGCCATAAATCAATTTAAATGCAACAAAGCTAAAGAAAGAAGCCAGATTGGTCAAGACTGGCCAGCCAAACAATTAAAAAAAAAAACAGGATAATTTGGAGGCATGGATTATGACCTAAAATTGTTGAACACTGTGTTTAGTGCAAAGGACTGTAGAGTGCTAAGTCAAAAGATAAGGTATTGTTAAAGCTGTATTGGGCTTCACTGGAACACCATAGCTGGCCATGGGCAGAAATGTCAGCATAGAAGCAAGGTGGAGAATTAAAATTATTCTTGTTAATCAAGGGCTGAAAGGTTATTAGGAAGGCAGGAGTGCAGAATTGAGGTTTCAATTGGACCAGTCATGACATTCTTCAATGGCAGAGCCCTGGGGGACTGTATGACCTACGACTGCTAATGATGCGATGTCTGTAAATTACAAACAATTCTTGCACAAAGTGGCTACCCAGTCTACATATGCTCCCTGCTATGTAAAGAAGACTATAACGTGAGCAGTAAATACAATGTACTAAATTGAAAGAAGCACAAGTAAATCACTGTTTCACTTGGAGGGAGTAGTTAGGCCCTTGGTGCAAAGGAAGGAGAAGGGAGATGTTGCATCTTCTGCTCTTGCACAGAAAAGTATCATGGGGAAAGAGAGCTGGGGTGTCACAGAAATGGATTAGTGTCACAGAAAGAAGTGGATTTAAAATCTCTAGTTCTGACGAAGAAGCGTCATCAACTTTAAACTTTAACTCTGTTTCTCTCCTCTGACCTGAATTCTTCTAACATTTTTGTTCTTATGGCTTTTACCTTGGAATGACTGTTTAGAAGCTGGTCTTGTTGATGGCTGTTTTGTAAAATCATGTTTCTGACTTTAAACAAAACAGTTTTAAACTCTTCAATTTAGCGATAATTAAACGACTTGTAACAGCATAATGCGACAATAAACTTAAGATGTTCCATTATACCAGTATTCCTTATCAATCTTCTTCCGCTTTTATATAAGAAATAGTTGGTAGCTTCGTACACTGTTATTTTGGCAGCTAAACTTGATAGTAATAACTTTATCTTTTTTGTTTTGCATTGGAGGTGGTTGGGAGCAGATTTACAAGAATTATACCTGGAATGAGTGAGTTGTTTTATGAGAATATATTGTCTGTCTGGCCTTGTTTCCACGGAATTTAAATGAGTGAGGGGTGCCTTGATAGACGTATATAAGATCCTCAAGGTGGTGAGGCAGGTGGCTTGCATCCTATGGTCTCGTCAGGGACAAAGCAGGGGAATGGGGTTGAGAAACATATCAGCCATGATCGAGTGGTGGAGCAGACTAGATGGGCTGAATGGCCTAATTCTGCTTTCATCTCTCATGGTTTTATGTGAAAAAGATGTTTCCTCTTTTTGTTGAGTCTAAAACTAGGGGGCAATGTTTTAAAAATTAAGGATTGCCCTCTTTGGACAAAAATGAGAATCTTTCTCCCAGCGGGTTGTGCAACTTCAGAACTCTACTTAGAAGGGATTCAGAGTGGTGTCATTAAATATTTTCACTGCAGAAGCAGATAGCCTTAATTCTTATTGAGCAAGCGAATCAATCAGTGGTAGATGTGAATGTGGAATTTCAAAACACAGATGGACCAACCAGAAATACACTAAATGGCAGAGCAGACTCGTAGCTGAATGTTCTACTTCTCCTATTTGGTCTGTTTGCATAGTTTTGATTTTTGATTTATTCACTTTTTAAAGAAAGTTTTGTAATGTCAGTTGTATTTATGTCATTCTTCCTTGTTTCTTCTGCCTTATCCCTTAGTTATGAACAGTATATCATCCCCAGCTCAATACCTGGTTCTGATAAAACTCCTTGTTCAAAGTACTTCTGTCTAGTTTCCAGGTTTCTCGCAGTACTGAAAGAACACTAGCAGAATTTATTAAAGATATGCTCTTGTGGTTAAAATTGTGGTGCATTATCCCTTTTTACCTATGTGTACTATTTGTTACACCTGACTGTAACAGCTCTTGCAAAATCTCCTTCGTGTCCAGTGTTTAGACTTTACTTGGTTCCACTCCTTACCTGAATATAACTATGATGACTGCAGAAAAGATTTCTTTTCCCTCCTCTGAACTGTCATCAGAGGCCCCTACTGTTCGTTAATTGGATGTTGCCTGTAGGTGATACAGTCTTTGGACCAGATTTCACATGCTTATTGTTAGTATTGTTATCTGCCCTTCACTATATTTTGTCTGCATCTCTGGTGTCAGTCTGCACAGTTGATAAGATTCTAGGTGAGAAAAACAACCTCTAGCTTAAAATCGCAAAGACTAATGCATTGTCTTCAGACCCACCATGTATTCTATTCTTCTGCTATTGATTTTCATGTTTTGTGATATGTTCTGGGACTAAATTAAGATGTTATCGAGTTTTGGGTTTCAATTTGAACAGCGTGTTTTTGAGTTGTGGTTTTTAATTAATGTAATGAAATATTCCTTGATAGACTGGGTACAGCCTAAAGAATGATTAGAAACTTCACAACATGCAGGGTAGAGCAGTTTGTTTGAGTGTTGCTCATGTTGGTGGATTTAATGTTCAATGTTTCAAACACCAGACTGAGGATGCAGAGGATGCAAGGTTATTTGAACAACAGTCCTTTTCCTTATGATCTCTATGATTGAAAAGTTCAGGAATATCAATACCATG